TGTGACATGAACAGTTTATGGAAATGCATTGTTCACAAGACAGTCTTTTGCAGATTTAGGTGTAACTGTCTTAACATTAAGTGGATAACTGCATAAGCTAAACTCCAAGGACAGAGAAAGAACATTGGTATCCATATTGCTGTCTTTATTTTTTTAAACTGAAACAACAGTTTCTTAAGAGGCTGTAATACTTCTGAACCTTCCTTTTTATTTCTTTATTTTTTTAAATTTATTTGGCTGCACAGGATTTTACTTGCTACATGCAGGATGCCTTAATTGTGGCATGTGGGTTGTAGTTCCCTGATCAGGGATTAAACCTGGGTCCCCTGGATTGGGAGCACAGAGTCTTAACCACTGGACCACCAAGGTGGTGGTCCCAAGGTTTGGGAAGTCCCAAACCTTCCTTTTTAAAACTTCATTACAGAAAAATCTCAAACGTATCAAAAGCAGAGAGAATAAGTCTAACGAAGTCAATGTACTCACTGCCTACTTTAAACTGTTAACAGCATGGTGAGTTTTGTCTCATTAATATTCTTACTCAGTTCCTACCCCTCACTGTCACAAAATTAGATTAAAGCCAGTGTTAGATATCCTATCATTCCCGCCTTAAATAATTCGGTACCCATGTCTAAAACATAAGGGATATTTTAAAATACAACCATAATATTAGTTTCAGACCAAAAGGCAAATGAAATTCCTTAGTATCATCAAATATCCAACTCAGTCAAAAAGTGTACCTAAGACAAAAGGAAGTCAAATGTCAAGGAAAACATTATCCCCAAAGTTACAACACTCAAAAATGAGCTATTCTCCTGCAATAAAAAGCAAACAGCATTCTCTTAAAGCACAGAGTTGGAAGTCAAGGGTTTCAAAGAGAATGGTGTGCAGGAATGTGTGCAGAATGTGCAGGAATGGTGTGCAAAATTTGTAACACATACATATGAGCAATTTTTTTTTCATGCTTGATAGCATTCATAGAATGTCAAGCAGCTCAAGACTGAAAACGTTTAAAGACCTTCTGCCCTTGGTTACGACTGTGTGTGCTTACTGCGACATCCCCTCACATTGCCAGGAAGGATTAGTCAAGTAGGAAAATAAATCTACCTAAAATAACTTAGAGATCAAGCTGAATTCAACTCAGTATGCACTGAGCACATACGAGGTGCAAGACACTGGGTCACGGTCTTGAGAAGCAAAGGTAAGCTAATCCCAGTTAATTTATAGTATAGAAGGAGAACGGATCAAACAGATTAACAAACACTGAACTAGAAAGCCATGAAAAAGGTGCTGGCTTTAGGTTATTTTCATGGAGCTCCAGATGAAGAAGCAAAGATGTTAATTTACGGGTGCGGGGAGGGATCAGGGCTCATAAGGAGATAGGAGAAAAATCAGAGGATGTCAGCAGTTGTACCAGCAACTCATGAGGAAAGACTGTCCTTATCGCCCTTGCTGATGGACAGGAATAAACATGTTTACTAGGGCCTGTATGCCCCTCCTGGATAGGGTAGAAGAAAGTTTCTTGAAAGTTGACACTTGATCAGATCTGGGAAGTAGAGAAACAGTAAAGAGGAAAGGGAGGTCATTCCAAGAAGAGAGAAACGCAGGAACAAAGGGGTAGAAGTTACTGGCATGTTAGGGAATCAGCAGTGAGGTGACCTTAGAGCAGAGTGTGTGGGAAGGGCTGGCTAACTGGAAATGCTGGCTGGGACCAGAAGTCAGAGCCTCCCAGACCAGACTTGGGCCTCTATTCTGCAGCTGGTAGAGAGGAACTGGAAGTGGAAACCTCCAGCCCAGACCAGACCAGAGCCTCTCCTCTGTGGCCAGTGGAGCCAAGGACAGGTTTTTAAGTGAATCAGTTCTGTCTTTACAAAGTATGTCTCATCCTTCAGTAGATGATGGGTGATCACTATCGGCTGAGAGGTCCAGCGTATTAGGAGTAGGCAAAGGGCTGACAGGGACACATGTAAGAATTTCAGAAATCATTTTTCTTTTCAAAGAAGAGGAAAGAAAAACAACATATAAATTCCATTACACAGTGTGCAACAGTGTGTCAGCACACTTCTCATTTGTTTTAAAAATAGTGGAAATACACCTGCAAGTTATAAACACATAGAGTTTCTCAGTAAAAGTATGAGAAAAATAGACACTATGGGTTGTAGGACATGGAGAAAAACTGGGAAGAGGCTGGAGAGTTTTTTGTACCTTTGTCACATTGAACCACATGAACATGTTACCTATTAGCTAAAGAATACATACTTTCCCTCTTACTTCCAGCCATATAGATAGAGAATAACGCAAAGAGAAAAGGTTTTGGAGACAGATCTAGGTTTCAGTTTGGGCTGTGATACTTCCTAACTGTAGGGCTGTGGGCAAATTAACTTCTTTTTGTTTCTGTCCTCTTATTTTCAGAAACAGGGGTAATATTGGCTAATTTCTGGGTCATTACAACAATGATTAAACTAATCCTATACAAAGCTTCTGGCGGACTATCTGGTGCCGACTAAGTACCCAGTAAGCAGTAGCTATTTTATTACCAACAAAACTTCTTTGATGTGAACACATTCTTCATACAAAAAAGTTCTTTGAACAAGTCTAAGGTATACTCATTAGCCGATCCTATTCCTACATTAAATATTAACACTGTACAAAACAATGAATGTAACCCATGATAAACACTACCCATTACATTATCTAGAAATTTAAAATTAACATGTTATTTACATGCATTTCAAGGCAGATGTTAGCTGCTTTATTTCTAGCTGCCTAGATTTACTGAATGAATATAGTCACAGAGGACTAAATACCAACAAGGCACCATGAAAACAGAAAATAAGTTGCTATCCTTCAGAAACTGACAACCTCAGTGAGACAACAGGTGTGACCTTCAAGTAACCATGGCCCCAATTTGGCAGAAGAGATGGAAATTCTGGCAATGAAGCACCCAATTCTGTAATATCCCTTATAGGATGTTAAGTCACATGGTAAGGAAAGGTTACTCTGTAAGCATTTTCTTAGCTTTATGAGTTGCTCCTTCATGAGACTGTGTTTTCAATCAGCTGTAACTGTGGCAATAGCAGCATTCTAAGTGTTACAAAAGATGGGTCACTCAAAAGCCTTACTACTTGTTTGAACAGTCACATCATTATTAAAGCATCCCTGAACAAAAGTTTCTTTGTTATACATTGAGTTGAATAATTTCAGACCATTTTCATGTGAGATGTTCTGGCTCAGATTTGCCCCAGCCTGCAGAGATGAAGCCTTAGACAAGAAAACATCTGGGATTCAGGGGGGAAAATTTTTTTTTGTTAAAGGCAGGAAATAAGGGTGAACATCTTCCAGGATTTCAGAAGTGTTAGTGAATGCTTCCAAGAAATGAAGGTGTTAAGGCCAGAGGAAAATACATTTCACTGCATATATGGCACAAGAGGGGAGAAAGAGTGGTGGGGAGGGATGCTTAACAAAAAAAATCGACATAATCATTCAAATATTTCTCTTGGAAGCAAAAGGGTCTTGGGAGAAACATTAATACTAGACTGTAGAGAAACAGTAAACACTAATTTCTAAAGAAGCTTTCACCAGTGCTGTAAATATGTTATGGATAAGCAGCCGGGAGGAATGACTGACTTTATATTAGCAAGCAAGTCTTGTGGCTGAGCCACAGGGGGGTGCACACTTGTATTTATCCCCTAGCTTCCCATAGTGAAAGCTTGAGGTTACATATTACAGCTGAATGAAGGTTGGATTAAGAGGCTAATCTAATGCTATATATAGACAGCAACACCAATTTAATCTCCGCCCCTTCCCCCTCCCCTCTCTATTTCCATAAATCTCAAGATCTGAGTTACAAAGAGACTGGGAACTCTAGCTGAGTGAAGAGCCTCTTCTTCTCCCCTCCCCCTTGACTGTCTCTCCTAAATCAAGTATTAGTGCACGTGTAAATTGCTTCCAAACACCCTTTACAGGCACACAGGGCGATCAGATCCAGTTTTCTTCTACAGCTTCCACAGGGGCCGGAGGAGATGACAAGTGGGGGCGAGGGGCAGGTTGCCAGAAGAGACTTATTGTCACATGCTTTCACCTCGCTTGTAATGGGGAGCTCTCCTTCGCTCCCCACTCGTAGTTCAGAGCCTAAACCTTGGCTTACCCCGGAGTTGCATCTGGCGGTGCCACGCACGAGACGCTGTGCACCCGCCACTTCCCACCGCGTGGCCGGCCCCTGCCCGCTCTTGGTCTCTCGGGGCGGCCAAACGTGGCGAGTGGTGGGTCTTTACTCTAGGGCACCGATACGCTGTAAAAGCGATGGTAATGGGGTGGAGGGGAGGCTTCCCCACCGAGAGGCAGGAAGCCGCCCGAGCAGGCACATGCTTCCTCCCAGCCAGTTTCGGCCGGAGGGGAAGCTCCCAGTCGGGCTTTGGCTCCGGTGGTCTAAGGCTTGCCGGCTCTCCCCTACCCTACCTGGCTTGCTTCTCACCTGTCCGAGGAGGTAGCGGCGACGCGCGAGGCTGGGGGCTGCGGCGATCCCGGCAGCGGCGGTGGCAGAAGCGGCAGTGGTGGTGGCAGACAATGGAGGAGTGAAGGACAGACACATTGACATCGACACACGGAGCTCGGCGCAGCCCCGCCTCCCACGCCGCCCCGCCTCCCAGCCCGCCCCCGGCCCGGGCCGCTCCACTTCCAGGGAAATAAAGGGGGGGTGTATAGCGAGAACCAGGGAGATGCACGCCCCAAGAAGAAACTTTCGAACACAGAAGTTACAGATAGAGAATTGGATTCTTGTGTGTTCTTAAATATCTGAACTGTAAAGAGTGGCTTGGGGGAAATCTGTAAGAAGCATTTAATTACTCCCCCAGTGATTTTCTCCATTTGGTTCTTCCTTCCCAGGCTCTTCCAATGGGACAGCAGCCTCGCTGCTGCCTCCTGCAGCTCCTCCTCCCTGCTGGGCCAATGAGGCGCGGGGGGCGGGGACTAACGCTGGACCTGCGGAGACCGCCCGCCCGGCTCGCCCGAGCTCGCCCGCTGCTCGCCGGCGCCTGGAAGGAGGCGAGAATTCGAACGCTTCCGCGGTTGAGTCCTAGTCGCAAGTTGCCTAACATTGCGGCTGGCTTTCGTAATACAGACGCGTCGTTTCTTTTTAGTACTCCTGAAGACACAGAATAGCCGTCAAGCTGGCGGAAGCAATGGTTCACATAAAGAAAGGCGAGCTAACCCAGGAGGAAAAGGAGCTGCTGGAAGTCATCGGAAAAGGTGTGGGTGCAGGGCTGCGACCGGGGCTCTGCCTGCCTGGCCGGGGAGGGGAGAGAGGGGCGTGGCGGAGCCCGGGCGGCGCCCCAGGCCCGGCTGACCCCGGGTTGCGGTTTTACGAGGTTGACACCCTACCACCGGGAAACAGCGCTCCTCCTTTTGGTCTGGGACGAGTTGCGGGGGCGGAGAGGTGGGGAGGGAGAAGCGCAGCTGGGACGACAGCGGAGGTTGCAGACATTCGTCCTCTGAATCAGCTTTTGGAAGGCGGCACCTTTCTGGTGCCGGGGGTGGGGCCTCAGAATGTGCATTCTTAAAAGCTCCTCAGGTGAATTGACCACGGTCCGCCTGGGCGATAGTGGCCGGAAAGTTTCAGGCTCTTAGACCGGTGTCTACAGGGCCATTTCGACTTCCGGAGGCCGAAGGATCTGGATCCCTTGGCTGTCTCCGCCCCCAAAAGGAGGGCGGGGTGGAGAGAGCGCCTAAGGAGCAGGGTTCTTTATAAGGGCACAAAACGACATCTGTAACTTGCGCTTTGAGCCTTCTGCCTGCAAGGCCTTCCTGGCATCCTTCCAGAAGCCCCCGACCGCCGCAAAACGCGCGAAAGCGAAGGGGTTGAGGAGGCGTCCACACCGCTTGGCGCGCTTGGCAGGGCTGCGATCTTGTTTGCGATCGCGCTCTGCGCTCATTCTCTTCCATTCTCTCAATGCGAGTCCCACTTCCACCGCTCCTGGTGCTAGGGAGGGAGACGCAGGGCCCGGGGACGAGCCAGAAACCATGTGTCCCCTCAGTCCCCCAGCGGATATCCCAGAAGAGTTTAATGCTAAGTCCCGTTAGCTGGCAGTTGACAACAGCATGAATACGTGGCTTATGCACTGTCACCAGGCGGGGATGGGGGATGCGTGGGAACCGTGGGCGTTGTTCACGTGGCTGTTTTAAGCTCAAGAATCAGCTTGCCCTCGGTCGGGATCGGCAGAGAGGCTGGTCATAATAACATAAAAAGCTTCCCAATTTCCAGTCTTTATTTCTAAGTAACATGGCTCAGATCTGGACTTACAGAGAGAGAGAAAGGCAAACTTTATCCTGACAAGGAAAGTCTACCTGGAAAAGAGAGAAAAATCGGGTTGGAACTCAACAGGTGCTGATGAGCTGAGCTCACCCGATGTGACCTCAACAATTTTAAGTCAGTCACAGCTGTATGTCTGTCATGATAAGTGTTCTTTGCCCAAAATTTGTGGGACTTAGAGTTAGATCAGTGTGTTTGTTCAGCATGGTTCTCGCTGACCTATTTGGCATGCAGTCTTTCTGTTCTGCTTGTCTCTGTTTAATTTCTCCGTGCCTTTGGTGGCTCTGGGATTCGGCTCACCAACCATGTGAGTCTCAGCTCTGTGCCAAGTACAGTGCTGGGCAAAAAAGGAGACAAAGGATCAACTTACAATCCACCAGGGATGCAAATGCTGTTTTTAAGCAGTCCAGGGCTATCACCTTCTCTCAAAAGTGTAAACAAGAGAGCAGTTTTGTAAAGTGGGTCTCTGAAAGGCATAGATGGGGTGTGTGTGTTGGATGGAGGGCAGGGAAGGGGAAAGCTTGGATACATTATTGGGTGTCCACTAGTTTTTATTTGTAAAGATTAAATGAAAAAATTCCATATATATGCATTAGTATACTGTATTGGTGTTTATCTTTCTGGCTTACTTCACTCTGTATAATGGGCTCTAGTTTCATCCATCTCATTAGAACTGTGATACATTCTTGTCAAGTGAAGGTCGGTGGGACATCACCATACTCTAATGAGAAAACTGTAGCCAACCTTTACTGACTGTTATCATGGGTCTGGCATAATTCTTCACACTTCACATGTAACCGTGCATTTAATCTTCATAAGCTAGGAATACAGACTTCTCTGTAGCTAAATCTGCCTGCAATGCAGGAGACCAGGGTTCAATCCCTGGTTTGGGAAGTTGCTTTGGAGAAGGGGATGGCAATCTACTCCAGTATTCTTGCCTGGAAAATTCCATGAACAGAGCATCCTGGCAGGCTACAGTCTGTGGGGTCACAAAGAGTTGGACACAACTAAGCAACTAACACACACACATAACACTGCACAACATTTTAAATGAGTTAGTGTATATTAAGTATTTAAGATACTGTGTTGGCTATGATTATGGTAAATATGGCAGTCTCTGTTGATAGATAACAAACCAAGGAATTGAAAAGTTAAATAGCTTGCCCAATGTAACCCAGGTAATAAGTGGCAGAGCAGAAATACCATCTGGTTCACAGTTGTAGAAACATGCTGGACTTGAAAACAAACTAAACAAAAAAATGAAAAAATGAAATCAGCACCATAGCAGTCCATACCATATCTTACTCACTTTGAAAGGTAATTGCATTAAAATATTATCCTCTGTCAAGTTAAATTAATTATAATTGTAAGTGATTTTGTAGTTTTGTGTGTAAGTGGCTCAGGGGTGAAGAATCTGCCTGCCAAGCAGAAGACAGTGGGTTTAATACCTGGGTTGGGGATATCCCTGGAGAAGGAAGAAGCAACCCACTCCAGTATTCTTGCTTGGGAAATCCCATGGACTGAGGAGCCTGGCGGGCTACAGTCCATGGGGTCCCAAAGAGTTGGACATGACTTAGCAACTAAACAACAATTTGTAAAATAGTTGTTGGCTTATAGCCGAACAAAGGTCATAAACAGGGTTTATATTTGTACTCATAAGAAGCATTTTTTTTTTTAAGAAAGGAGTACAGTTCTGATATTTTCCCCCCTTTTGGTACATTTCTCGACTTTGAGAAGCACTGGATTAGTCAGTACTACTCTGTGAAATTAATAAGTTTCTAGCCAAGTGTGACCTGTCACCTTGGCCAGTCTGAAATAAGCTCAGCAAAGTTTTGAATGTCTCCATCCTGCTAATCACTGCCCTCCAAAAGTTAAGCAGATTGCAAGGGGGACTTAGAGCCCAGAGAATACCACATATGGCAGTGGACACTTTAAGAACAATTTCTTCTTTTGACTGAATTCATATGCCAACTACTCTACAGGTTGTTTATTTGTTGGAATGCCAAGAAGAAGTTCCAGATGAAACTGAGAAGCTGTTTCTCACATATCCATTTAAATCATAGTCACTGACAGCATCCATTTCACAGCATTTCAGAAGAGAAATGAAATCACTGAAGCACAGTTAAGTGGCTTATATTACTTGTAGATTGAGCCATTCTTCCAAGTTCTGATATCTTTTTCACTAAACACTGAGGAAGCACTGTTTCAAAATAAATGAAACCTCCTTTAAAAATATAAACCAGAAGGTCTTTCATTACTTACCTTGTTTAGTACTTGAAATTCCTGGAGTCAGTGTTGCTGATTTCACAAGAAAGTAATGAACTTTCTTTTCTTTTCCTCTTTTTCCATTATTTGTGTTAAAGGGTCTATGAAACAGGCTTGAACAATAAGGTTTATTCTACCAGTCTTACTGGAGTATAATTTAAGTATGATAAACGATGCATATTTTAAATACACATTTTTTTAAAAGAGAGTTTTGACATAAGTACACATCCACGAAACCTTCATTGCAATCCACACAGTGACCAGTTGCATTACCCAAAAGATTCTACATACCTTTTCTAATCTGCCACTCCTTCCAGTCCTGTCTCCAGGCAAACAGCAATAGGTATCTGTCACTATTGGTTAGATATATTTATTCTAGAATTTTATAAAAGTGGAATTATAACATAAACATAGTAAATATTCCTTTTTTTTTTGCATGACTTCTTTCACTCAGCATCATGATTTTGAGGTTCATCTATACTGTACCAACAGCTTTGTTTTTTATTTTCTTCATTTATTCCCCGTGTATGGATGTATCATTATGTGCTTACCTGGTCACACTTAGGGACATTTCAGTTGTTTCCAATTTGGGACTGTTAAAAGATCCTGCTCTAAGGTCCTGTGGAGTTAATACGGTTATTTCTAGTGCCCCTGGTACATAGAAAGATTCAGTTCAGTTCAGTCTCTCAGTCATGTCCGACTCTGCGACCCCATGGACTGCAGCACGCCAGGCTTCCCTGTCCATCATGAACTCCCAGAGCTTACTCAAACTCAAGTCCATCGAGTTGGTGATGCCATCCAACTATCTCTGTTGTCCGTTTCTCCTCCTGCCTTCAGTCTTTCCCAGCATCAGGGTCTTTTCCAATGAGTTAGTTCTTCACGTCAGGTGGCCGAAGTATTGGAGTTTCAGCTTCAGCATCAGTCCTTCCAGTGAACACCCAGGACTGATCTCCTTTAGGATGGACTGGCTGGATCTCCTTGCAGTCCAAGGGACTCTCAAGAGTCTTCTCCAACACCACAGTTCAA